GGGCACTTGCTGGCTATAAGCAGCACCTGCAAGGCCTTATATACTATACACAGACGAAATGTTTATGGCAGATGCACCTGACAGCAATAACAAGATAACAAGTTAAGCAAATACACTGAGAATGATATTATGGTCTACGAAGAATGTGTGTTCGGAGTCCCAAGCTAAGAAATCTGGGAATGGCTAACCTGGAGTTTCATACCTTAACTGTGAAGGACACCTGAACCCCCAGCCATCTTTTGGAACATAGGCTGTACAGGGGATCAAAGCCTTTTGTTTTGGGTTAGATGGTGGTTGCTAGGTGGAGGGTGCTAAGTGAAAATGCTATATAAACTGCATGTTTTTTACAAACAGTGGTGGTTCTCTTGTCCAGCCCGCTGCCACTGGAGCATCCCTGTATGTACGTTCCCCCAATAAACCCTATGTCTCATTCACTGTCTCTGAGTGTCTTCTTTGTCTTCTCAGACATGGTGCCATTTCGCTGGAGTCAATAGGAGCCTGGCTTGCCATAACATTACTAGGCGATGCAGAGAGTCAGGCTGGCCAATTCTGCCAGTGGTGAGTGTGGTGTTGCAGTCTTCTAAATGCCGTAATAGAGCATTAAGTATTTCCATCCACATCCCTGGGGAACCCATTAGGCTTCATCAGGCCAATGGGAATTTCCAGGAAGAAAGCAGGACTGGGGCAGTATTTCCCCAGCGTCCACACTTAATATGATCCAAGGAACAGGGCTCAGAGCCCTCTCTCCCTCTATGGTCTCTTATTCAATCTTGGATTCAATTCAACTAATAAATTACAAATTAGAGCTGGGGAAATTTGAGAATGTTTAGATGAAGAAGGAATTTTTGTTGGGTGTAGGAGGAATGTAGGAATTCAATAGAGGTCGAAGTAAAGTCATAGCTTACAGGGCTGAGAGGCTCTCAGAAGCAAAGGCCTGCCTTTACAAACTGCAAATGCTATTGCTGGGATTGAAATGCAGTAGAGTGAGGCAGGAAATACAGGTGAAGATTCATTGTGCATTTACTCATTCACCATATGCCAGGCACTAGACAACCAGAATC